GACCGGACTTCAAGATCGTCACCGGTCATCAGAACATCTTGGAATGCGATCAAGATCGGGTACCAAAACTGCTCCTCCTTGGACTGACGGGTGAGCTGCTGGGAAAGGTTGGTAGCATCTTCATGGAAGCCCTCCGGTGATGCACCACGGTGAGACAGCGGGCACTCTGGCGTCCTCAGCATTTTCGTAACAGTAGACTTCAAGGTCTCAATTGCCTGCAACGACTTCTTCTGGAACTTTGAGTTTTTGGAAAATTCAGTGAGGCAGACAACGAGGTCAGGGAAGGCACCCTGTGTTATAACGACTCCAAAGCGGGTGTTGTAGATCTGGGTCACATGCTCGAAAGCCATGTTGACAATGCCTTCATACGGCTCGCGAGCAGCAACCGTAAAGACGCCAAACATAGTTTTCCAACCTGAGCGAATATTGTCACCACGTGCCTGAATCATCTGGATGAGACAACGAAGAATCATATCCTTGACAGTGACAGCGTTGCTGTTCGCCATAACGTGTTCAAATGGCTTGAGGAAGTCCTTTTGGAACTTGAAACCTGGCAGCTCCTCAATCTCCATAAAGCGCATCGAAAGTTGGCGAAGCGAATCAAGAGCGAAGAAGACCACTGTGGTATTTGAATGGCAACCCACATGATTGAAGTGCTGTCCGAGGACCTCCCAAATCTTTGACCATTCTATCCTGACTCTAGTCATGTTGTAGTAACTGATTTCTACCAGTTTCTGCAGGCTATACGTCCGAGGAGATTCAGTTTGCCCAGACGATTGGATCTCTTGCCAGCTGACCTCGCTGAGGGCCTTAATGAAATCGATGATGGCCTCGTGGGAGAGATTGGCCGTATTGGTGAAGATGCGGTCCACTCCCCTTATCATTTCTGCAGATCGACTCTCCATTGCAACCTCGGTACGGAAAGCTGTAGGTCCGTTGATAGATCGGGGGCGAGGCCGTCTTGATGCTTGCATCGACTTCCGAGATCCGTCCGTGGATGGCTGAGTCACGATGCGAGCTCGAGAGACATCAGGCAGGGAACCTTCATCCACACCATCGGTGAGGAGCTGAAGACGGTCGAGTTGACTGACGCAGGTGAGAATCTCTCTCCAAGAGCCCTTGAGATGGTTTCCTTCCGTAAGAGCGACGTCAAGCAAGGCTTTCAACGCCTCCACGTTCTTTGCTACCATCTCCCTGACGTTGCCCAAGTTGGTAAACTTGGCCAAGGCGGTCACAAACGCGACCCGCGGGGTCTCAAGTTCGAACGCGCAACTGATGCGTATAGCCAGCTTCATACCTCCCATGCAAAGTCGGATGATTTCGAGGTATTGGGTGTCCTGCATCGGAGCAGACAAGCCAGAAAGAAAAGACATCCAGGTGACATTGAACATGGAGCCAACATGTTGGACGGAGGTTGCCGGGATGAAGCGTGAGAGAGCTTCCTTGACAGCTGTTTTCCGCTGAGCCCGTATCAGACTACGATAAAGCTGCTCGGTCTTGTTTGCCATTTCCTCAGAAGCCTGCGCGTACTTTTCACCTTGGATATCGCGTCCCACCGTTGCAAAAACTTGTCCAGCCCTGGACGCGAGGCCACCGCTGGGTGCAGACGTCGGAATGCCAAGATTGGCAGCATGTTCTCTCTCAGTATCCAACACAATTTCATTGTTTGCGATTTCGTCGTAGATGGAACCAAGATAATCATCAGGCAAATCCTGGTTATCATTGATACCTCTGTTGTTCTTGATGAAATCTTCCTTCGTCATGCGGCGGCCCTTGATCTTGGCACTATGCTGATCGGTGTTGAGCATGATGACGGAGTAAGCAAGAACGTAGGCCGTATCCGCGTTTGCAAATGCGTTCGGATTCTGCGTTACGTAGCGCTCTGCAAACTTGAGCATGAAGCGATCGATCTTCTGTGCCTCTCCTGGCAAGCGGAAGTGCTGTAGGAATTGACGCAGAGCATCGACGAAGCGCCGCTTCGAAAACTCCATCATATCAACGAAAGCATGCATGATGGCGATATTCTCAGTCTCTCCTTCACCGAGATACTCACCAATCATGGCTTTATCCAACCGTTCATTCCGGAACAAGAACGCGGCAATGTCCTCCGGTGAACTGGAACGTACAAAGCCATCTTTGATAAAGAGCTTGATTCCCCGCTTGGCCTTGAAGTTGAACTGTTGGATGGCGTTGGTGAAGGCGATCTTTCTTTGCTTGACCTTCTCAATCTGGCTCGGGTCGTCCTCCGCCACAGGTGTGGTACTGCCCTCGGTGCTTTCGATCCTCGGAGAAGAAAGATAGGTAGCGGCAGTCGTTTCCATTGAATCCCTAGGATTGTCGATTGACTTCTGAGAAGAGGAGTTGAGAACTGGCGCCGCTTGATCGACCAAACGCTGGGAAGCCCAGTTGTCTAATGACTGAAGGATTTCCACCAGGCACTCGACCGCCTGATTCTTCAATATATAATCAGGGGGCACATGCTGTAGGTTTGGCTGATGAACATTAGCTACGCTAGCTGTGGTAAGGTTGGGCGGTAGGGTTCCCCGTTGATGCCAGTCGTTACCGAGAGTCGAAACCTTGACATGATGCTCCTGATACTGTTGTTGCTGGAAAGCGGTGACTGTGACTGGTATACTTGCATACCGTGACAACTGCTCAATAACACTGGAGAATGGTCAGAAGTCGGACTGCAGAATAATGAACTTATGACGTACTTTTGGAAAATATTTTCCAACGCGGTTCTGTCGCAGTCATAGTTGAGGTACATTTCCACCAAGGCGCGCGGATCGCCTGCCAATCGCTCCAAGATTTCCATGAAGTACTGTTTCTGGAAAAGGGGAGAATTGCGCTTTTCGAGAATAGTCAAGTATATCTCTTTTAGGAAAACCTCAAGTTCTTTCTGCTGGCTGTTAGATCGACTCGCGCGATAAGTCCATAAAGCATACTAACCTTCATCATCACTCTCATATCCTTCAGCATTAGCCAAAATATCTCACAGCAAACTTCGAACACTCTAGGCACAGAGCTAGACCCATTCCGACTCAAGCTTAAGCACAAGTGAGGCCGGACAGCTTGTAGTAGTGTCATAGCATCCGGGCTGTTGGAGCTATTTTTTATGGTCAGGAGGGGAGATGTAAAGGTCACAACGTGATTGTTGATGAGGTAATGGATAAGGTGCAATGAGAGCAATTTTGACCTCATGTTCTGAGACTTGAGATCTTGCTGTTGATCATGGCTCAATATTTTGTGGCTCAGCTTGCAGAGTGCCCTGAAAACCAAAAATGCGTCTTTGACATATATTTCGTCTTCATCATCATCGGAAGTGCCGTCAATGTCCTCTGCTGAGGCTGCAGACATTGACCGAGCAGATCTCTGATTGCCTCTGGCACGAGTAACCATCGTGGGAGCATTATCGTTGACCGAGGTCACATCCTTGTTCGACTCGAAACTTTGCAACGTCAATTTCTCCACGGGCTCCTTCGTGACAGGCTGGTCGGAGGCTACGGCAGACGGGGCATCCGAGTCGTGATCATCTTCCGTTGCTTGTGGTGTCTCGGCTGTTTCTAGAGTCACAGCATCCGAAGAGCCTGTCTGCCCTTTTTCGCCATCGCGCAAACGTAGCTCTTTCAAGTCCAACCGTACCTGGACCCTATCAAATACAGTGCTGACCATCTGTGTCAAGGACCCTTGGGCGATTTGCTGATTCTGAGATGATTTGGAGTAGATGAAGATGTTGTAAATCTGGCGGACAGCCTTCAGGAGACCTGCTCCATGCACGACGATCTTGTCGTTCAGAACTGCCGCAAGGAGTGACTTTATGATTTGTTGTTGAATCTCAACGGGTGTGGCTTCGTTCTCAAAGCAGTCGCAGATCGCATCAATCGCTCGCTCAATCAGGGGTGGCTGTTCAGGGTTGGCCTCCGACTCTGGCGTCTTCCCATCTTGAGATGAAGGGAAGGCGAAGTATGAGTAGGTTATCAATTTTCCGATGCAATCGAGGGCCGTGACCTGCAGAGGAATACTGAAGGTTTTCGTGGCCAGCTGCAGAGGGCGGAATATAAGCTCAGGGTCAATGGGCTGGCCATCCGACTGTTTGACGTTTGCGAGGGCACTCTTCACAGCATCCTCAAGTTCTTTGCTTCTCCGCGCTTCCTTAGACGCGCCGATTGTATCCAACGCCGTCACAATAAAAACGGTAGAGCTGACCGTGACCGAGCGATGTGTTGCAAATGTAGCTGTCGTCGATCTTGAATCGGAGCGCATGCGTGAATCGGAGGGAATTTCATCTTGATGCGGGATGGAAGCAACATCTTGCTTGTCAGCCGAAGATTCCTCTTCAACGTTGACAGCCGGAACTACCGGTGATGTGTCCGCAGATTGGTCCTGTGTATCGGGCTTCGAGGTCGACTCAGGCTCGGTGTCAGCCTTGGGTTCTGATGATGCGACGGCTCCCTCCGGAGAGCTTGGGGCTTGATCCGGCGACTCTGTATTTTCAGCAGTTTTCAATTGTTCTGGTGATGAATGAGCCTCCTCTGATCCCTGAGCATCAATTCCTTGACTATCCGAAACCTCCGGTAGTGCGGGTTTATCTCCGTCGACAGGTGATTCCGTATGCGCTAGGACATCGCCGGCAACATCCTCCTTGTTGTCTACCGGCGGCAGGGTTGTAGATGTTTGGGTTGGTGGCTCGTTCACAGAGCCATGCTCGACTTCCGCCATTTATGCAAGACTCCGTCCGGAGTGTTGGGAATTAGGCAGACGAGGGGTCCACATGGGACTGAAAAGCAACTAAAGGGGTATATGCAGGTCTGAGAGAAAGGGCCCTCTAGCCTCCTGGACGCTGGGGAACTGATGCGTGTTCACTCCGCGGACGGGGAGAATGTACGGCTGCCGCTAGGGGCCACACACGCCGCGCTGACATAATCAGGCCACGGCGGCGCCCGGCGAGTCTATTCCGATCGCTCACCGGGAAGCTCAACAGAAAAGTTCCTGGAGCTGCAGTTCTCAACTCCTCTGATACGGGCCCTTTCATTCCGCCAGATACGTCTCCGGATCCCCCTTTCATCCCATTTAATCCCCTCATTCCCGTCTCGGGTCTATTTCTCTATCACATATAGCATTTGGGCGCCATGGTTGCTTCTACTGTCCGGATGCGCGCTCCCAGCGCCATGTTCCTCTCCAAAGGCGCCCTCTCCCTGAAGCGGCCGCAAACTGTTCACAGATTCAAGGACATCGCTCAGTATGTCGCACCACCTCGTTGAAGACCACTTGGCTGTCTACGAAGCATGCTAATCATACTTGTGTGTCTTTTTAGATCTCAATTGCCTTCCCTGTCCGCCCTTTCCCGTTTTTATGCCTCCAAGTGTATGCCGTTATTCTTGTCGCCTTTGATTTGTGGATGATCGGATTTTAACATGTTGGATCTGCAGCCTTCCCTCCCCACACTGTCATCAGCATGCCGGCCTTGTCGCCGACCATGTCCGCCGGAAACATTGGAGCTTGGCAGAAGAAGGCCGGTGATTCCCTGCAGCCCGGTGATGTCCTGGTAGAGATCGAGACCGATAAGGCCCAGATGGACTTTGAGTTCCAGGAAGAGGGTGTTCTGGCCAAGGTTCTTAAGGAGACTGGCGAGAAGGACGTCTCTGTCGGTTCTGTATGTGATAACTCTTCTGCTCTGTTCTTGGCCCCCACCGAATCCTTTGCTGACCGCTATTGCATTAGCCTATCGCTGTTTTGGTTGAGGAAGGTGTCGATGTTGCCGCTTTCGAGGCTTTCAGCCTGGCGGATGCCGGTGGTGAGAAGGCTGCTCCTGCTGCTGAGGAGAGCAAGCAGGAGTCCAAGGCCGCTGAGGCTGCCCCGGCTTCTGAGCCCGCCCCTGCTGCCGTGGAGCCTGAGACTTCCGGCGAGAAACTCCAGCCCAGTCTGGACCGTGAGCCTTCCATCAGCCCTGCTGCCAAGGCCCTGGCTTTGGAGAAGGGTGTGCCGATCAAGGCTCTCAAGGGTACCGGCCGTGGTGGCCAGATCACTAAGGAGGACGTTGAGAAGTACAAGCCCAGTGCTTCTGCCGGCCCTACCTACGAGGACATCCCCCTGACCTCCATGCGCAAGACCATTGCTAGCCGCCTCCAGCAGTCCGTGCGCGAGAACCCTCACTTCTACGTCTCCACCACTTTGTCTGTGAGCAAGCTCCTCAAGCTTCGTCAGGCTCTGAACGCTTCCTCCGAGGGCAAGTACAAGCTTTCCGTCAACGACTTCCTCGTCAAGGCCTGCGGTGCCGCCCTCATGAAGGTCCCCACCGTCAACTCCAGCTGGCATGAGGAGAACGGCCAGACCGTCATCCGTCAGCACAAGACCGTCGACGTCAGTGTTGCCGTCTCTACCGCCAATGGCCTCATCACCCCCATCGTCAAGAGCGTTGAGGGCCGTGGTCTGTCCAGCATCTCCAACCAGATCAAGGACCTGGGCAAGCGCGCCCGCGACAACAAGCTCAAGCCCGAGGAGTACCAGGGTGGCACTTTCACCATCAGCAACATGGGTATGAACCCTGCTGTTGAGCGCTTCGCCGCCGTCATCAACCCCCCTCAGGCCGGTATCCTGGCTGTTGGCACCATCCGCAAGGTTGCCGTCCCCGTCGAGACTGAGGAGGGCACCTCCGTTGAGTGGGATGACCAGATCATCGTCACTGGTAGCTTCGACCACCGTGTCGTCGATGGTGTTGTCGGTGCTGAGTGGATTAAGGAGCTGAAGAAGGTTGTTGAGAACCCCCTCGAGCTTCTTTTGTAAGCTCCTCCCTACACTGTGGAACCCCGACCGGCGCAGTATACTAGCTATCTACGATCGGAGTTTCTTTTGGCCTTGTTGTAATATGTATCAAAATCATTGAACGTTTCCTCCTTTCACGACCGTCACGGTCTGTCAAGTACAGCCTAGATATTCTCAATGCATTTCCTATGTTCCGTACTTCCATGATGTTAAGCCTTGCAGGATGTTTCGGACTATGTTATTGGCCGCACAAGTTGTACCTGATACTTGAACCAGCCCCTTTCGATAGATGCAACAACCTATCTAGATTTATGCCGTGCAAAGCAGTAATTGGGTAGATCCATCAGGAACAACTTAAAAGAGTTGCGTAGCCGCCAGCGCGTTGCGTCCGGCACGAGAGTCTTGGCGGTGCTCATAGCCTGGGCCAACCTTCGACAGGGAATCTATGACGTGATGTCATTCCTCTCGGACGGTTCTCGTGTCCATAAATACTCGAGGTTCTCATCCCCTGAAACCTACCTCGATACTTTCCCGTGCGTCAGCCTATTACATCTATTATATCGTCACTTGCATCCGAATCTACCTGTACGTGTGTTTGGCCCTTTCTGGTGGTTGCTAAGTACTCTTGGTCTTGGCATGCGCCCAACTTAGATGCGCCGACTGATGACGTCCTAGATCACATATTCCTCTCTAGTCACACGACTCCTTTATTCATCATGTCTTACGCAGAAGCTGCTGCCAAAGGTCCCAAGCAATCCGCAGAGGAGGTATGTCTACAGTCACTCCCCCGCCTGGCGTTCACTGCTAGTACTATACCATCTAGATTATGCAGATCGCTAACAGTATGGACAGGCGTAAGTCAACAACAACAGCACAGAACAAAATGACCCTTCCATACAGCTAACAGCCATGTAGTCGTGCCCCCAGCGTTGGTGGAGTGTACCGCGACGAAGCCGAGAGCACCGCTTCCCTGGTCGACGTCGACTCGCCGCATGTCCAGGCTGTGGATCCCGATTTCCTAAAGCAGGATGTGCAGACCACCACCCAGGCTGAGCGGATAGAGCGAGAAGAAGAGGAGCGGGAAGCCTACGAAGAACGGAAAGCGAAGAGCAAGGCTAAGGCTAAAGCCAAGGCGAAGGCTGAATCGGCGCGCAGCAACGCGCACAACCCTGTCTACCTCGGAAATGCTGTGATTTTGGCCTTGACTGGCGCTGGTCTGGGATATGGAGCATACCGGAAGCATGCTGCTGGGCAGCTTTCGTGGGAAGTGATTGGATGGGCCTCAGGCGCTATTGGCGCTTTTGGTGCCGTGGACTACTTTGTTAGCAAGTGAGTATCTGTCTGAAGTGCATATGCGATGATGGCGTTTGCTAATGTGGGGGCGTCCTCTAGATGGCTTCTGCAGAACAAGTACCCTCCGAAATAAGGCTTGAAGTTGAAACGGAGCACTTCGTGGAGTAGTGATATCCCAGTGTCAAATCCGCGGTCTATTACTTTCTTACTGTTTGTTGTACTCCTTTAGGGTATATGAGGCGTTTGTGCAGTCTTTGGGCGTCATAGTGTGTTTGTTACTAGTATATCCCTAATGGATTGATCTCCTCTTAGCACAGCAGCCGTCGTAAGGATGAGGGCATAAAGTATTTTGCGGCAATCGCAAAGGCGAAGACATTGTCCCACGCGGGGTAGACAGTTGCAAAAGAAAAAGAAAAATCAAATGACGTAGACTGTAGAGTCGAGAGCTTTTAGTCGCCTCTCTAGCTTCCTGCATGGACTTACTTTTGCTCGGACCGAGCTGAAGCGGGTCAGGCCGCACGAATGGCTGCAGTGGCAGGGGCGGTCAGCGCCGTCAGAATCGTGGCCTCTGCAAGAACATGTGGCCTTGGCCAGCATCATTATTAGCCTGATATAGAAGGTCTCTCCTGACACGTCGCTATTTCTTGGTGCCGGCCCCTAAACATTTCGCAGACTTACTCGAGGGCTTTGTACTCTTGGAAAGAAATTAACACCTGCAAACCCAAGCTATACCTCTTCTTTTTGCGGCCGGGATTGTATACAGCGCACTCACCCGATAGGGTACACCGCACAAAATGGTAAGTCGTCTACGACCTCAAGATATGAAGCCCCAATTTGACGGATTCTGTTTATGCCTGATGAGAGCTTACATTGTCTATTGTCCAGAATTCCCTCTTCAATTCCGCTCTCAAGCAGTCATCTGCTATCCGCCGTGACCTGGACACATTCTCCCAATCGCCAGCTACCTCATCTGCCGCACTACAAGGTATGTTTCGGAACTGGTGCTTATAGTGGCTCCACTACGCAACAGAGGGAGCTAAGCTCATGTGCATTATAGGACAAATCGCTGCTTCTTTAGCATCGCTATCACGCACTGTTGACGACTACTCTGCCCTGTCCAAGAAGGAATTGATCCCGGAGAAGCAAGAGAAAGCATTCGAACGAGTCAAGAATTTCCGCTCAGAACTGGCAGATTACCGGCAACATTTTGATCGACTACGGAAAGAACGGGAGGAAGCTGTAAGAATACCACTTGCATCTTCGAGCAGCGTTGGGAGTTACTGTTACTGACTATGGTTTGTCTACAGCAATCCGTCACCAACCGCAATGAGCTCCTCGGTCGACGCCCTCATCACACAGCTACACCGGAGAACCCATATGCCCAATCATCCCTCCCTCAGTCTTCTGCGTTCGCTCCTTCCTCATCACGATCGGGACTCAGCTTTGGAGCTTCGCCGGCCGACTACAACCGGGAAACACATGCGCTTCGCGAACAAAGCTTCCTAGCGAGCACCAACACCCAGATTGACGAGTTTCTTGATCGGGGTCGTGCTGTGCTTGCGGATCTGGGACAGCAGCGTGAAGTGCTGAAAGGCACGCAGCGGCGACTCTACAGCGTTGCGAACACACTGGGCGTCAGCGGCGACACAATCCGCAGGGTTGAGCGTCGCGCAAGACAAGACAAGTGGATCTTCTGGGGCGGAGTGTTGCTCTTCTTCCTGTTCTGCTGGGCTGTCCTGCACTTCTTGCGATAGTTGTGGTACATATTTCTTTTCATTCCCCTTTATATTGCTTTTTGCTTTTACCCCTTACCTTTCTGGGACTATTGTGATTTGGTGCTTGGGTTGTCTTACAAGCGCAGGCGTTTGGAGCGCATTGGCAGGGGAACTGATTGCGCATTATTGTATGTACTTGTGTGTGTGGATGTGGTGATGGCTAGTAGTCTATACGTAGTCCCTGCAGTAGGACTGATTAGATTTGCTGTCCCCGTGCGCAATGGGAATTGGTTTGAGTGTGGAGTATCCCTGAAGTAGTGTGCCGTAGACAAGGAAGACGGACGGGTGGATGGAACTGTTGGGGGGGGACGTGGCCATCGGTTAATTTAGGGACCATGGAGCAGATCCCATAGCAACGTGGCAATGAAAGCAATTGTCTGGAGAGGTTAATTCAATTTGAATAAAGTAAAAAAAAAGACTACCCATTGGTATCGGAGAACCATTGACGACCAGCATATGAATTGAGGGTCGGTAGGACGGAACCGGAGCAAGTTGCCAGGCAAGTGGACAGACATGGCAAGCACGACAAGATGATCCGATGGCTGCCGTGGGGATCGGAAACGGAGCCATTTAGCCGCCCCAAAATCCTTCGCGCTCACCGGCCACCGACGGCTTCTCCCTTCTTCTCCTTCTTCTCTCTCCTCCTTCCTCTCCATCGCAATTGTTTCTCTTCTCTTCTCCCCATCTCCCCATCCTTCTTCCAGATAGATCTACCTTTAGTCTATCCTTCACAGTCAAGATGTTCGCTGCTCGTCAGTCCCTCAACCTCCTCCAGAAGCGTAGCTTCTCCGCTTCTGCCAGCCAGGTGTGTAGTCCAATTTAAAAAAAACATTGCCTCGGAGCTCTCTTGTCCACTTGCTAACCATCGCAATTTCCATCTCAGGCTTCCAAGGTTGCCGTTCTCGGTGCCGCCGGTGGCATTGGCCAGCCCCTGTCCCTGCTCATGAAGCTCAACCCCCTTGTCACTGACCTCGCCCTCTACGATATCCGCGGTGGACCTGGTACGTCGCACAGCTTCTCCCTTCCCTCCAGTTTGAAACGCCCATCCAATCATCGGAGTCGACTAACAGAATCCTCAAACAGGTGTCGCTGCCGATGTCAGCCACGTCAACACCAACAGCACCGTTAAGGGCTACGAGCCTACCCCCTCTGGCCTCCGTGATGCTCTCAAGGGCTCCGAGGTTGTCCTCATCCCTGCCGGTGTTCCCCGCAAGCCCGGCATGACCCGTGACGGTATGCGCTGGACCACTTCAAAACGAGGCAGAGCACGAGCGTCAGACTAATTTCTCCATTTAATAGACCTCTTCAACACCAACGCCTCCATTGTCCGCGACCTCGCCAAGGCCGCCGCTGAGGCTGCTCCCGAGGCTAACATCCTCGTCATCTCCAACCCCGTACGTTGTTCTCAAATCACCACCAAAATTCTCGAACCTTGCACTAATTAGGTTACCCCCAGGTCAACTCTACCGTCCCCATCGTTGCCGAGGTCTACAAGTCCAAGGGTGTCTACAACCCCAAGCGCCTCTTCGGTGTCACCACCCTGGACGTTGTCCGTGCTTCCCGCTTCATCTCCCAGGTCAAGGGCACCAGCCCCGCCAACGAGAACGTCACCGTCATCGGTGGCCACTCCGGTGTGACCATCGTTCCCCTCCTCTCCCAGTCCAACCACCCCGACATCTCCGGCACCGTCCGTGACGAGCTGGTCAACCGCATCCAGTTCGGTGGTGACGAGGTCGTCAAGGCCAAGGACGGTGCTGGTTCCGCCACCCTCTCCATGGCCATGGCCGGTGCTCGCTTCGCCGACTCCCTCCTCAAGGCCGCCAACGGCGAGAAGGGCATCGTCGAGCCCACCTTCGTTGAGAGCCCTCTCTTCAAGGACCAGGGTGTTGACTTCTTCGCCTCCAAGGTCGAGCTCGGCCCCAACGGTGTCGAGAAGATCCACGAGGTTGGCCCCGTCAACGAGTACGAGCAGGGTCTCATCCAGACCGCCCTCGGTGACCTCAAGAAGAACATCCAGAAGGGTGTTGACTTCGTCAAGGCCAACCCTTAAATGGTTTTTTGGACTTGCTTGAAGAAGGAACAAAATTGCAATACCTCTCTGCAGCCGCTTTTCCTCCCTGTATAACAGTCTTGTGATAATCCATACCCACTTCCCGCCCCCTATGCACATCCCCTTCTCGCATGTGGCTTTTATATCGGAGGAAATGTAGCTGCGGAAACTCGCATAGCAATGAGTTTTCGAAGAGCCTGGGTTTGCCAGGGGAGATGGACATGAACGTGTATTTCCTATAAATAAGAAAATCTAATGATTCAATGACTAGTATTGTAGCCATTCCGGTACCTGTAGGATTCAGAACTGCACGCTGGTCTATTTGCTACCTACCGCGGTCAACAATTGCCTCGGCTGCACCAAGAACATCGAACCCGCGGCTAAAACTCAAATCACCGAGTCAACAACCAATTAGTCCGCGACAATCCTAACCAAACCAAGAATTCCGAACCGATCCAAACACAAATACCAGCTCGTAACAAATCAGCCACAAAACAAAAGAAACAGAATAATGAAAAGACAAAAGAGGATCATAAGCGAGAGAAACCAGCAAGGCTAACAGTAAATATGTATATAATACTCCGACTATGTCTACCACTCCCGCACCAACAACATCCACTCCGAGTCTTTTGAGTCATCAATTTATATTCTACTTTAGTAGTACTAGTTGAGTAGTATTGACAGTATCATGGAGTCGGTAGTATTCCAGATATACATACATGGCACCAAAGATTTACTCAGTAATTTGATATCCCTTTGTAGGTATCTTGTATTATCACGATACTTCATATATAGTAGTATAAACTATGGACTATGCATGTTTCTACTACCTATCCACCTATGGAGAATAAGTATCAGTGATGACTGACTGGGATCGGGTTTGAATTATTGAATTATCGGTAGTAAGTTTTAGATCATAGCTGCAAAGCACTACTAGCTGTCATTTGAGACGGGGTTATATCGATAGACGAGTCTAGTTGAGTGCGGCTTGAGGAGTATGAATATAATAGTAGGTAGTAGTAGCAGCAGAACAAGTTGGAGGTGTGAATTGTACATCGTATCTTATTCTGGAACTTTCCGACTACGGTGATCGTTGTTTTTTAGTAGACTGCTAAATGCTGGTAATGCACTTGCGGCTGGCCGGTTCGGTATTTGATGGTGGATAGTAAATACTATACAGTCTTGATGTTTCTGTCTGAAATATCTACTAGGTCAATATAGTAGGGAATAGATAAGGACAGTCAAATAAGAGTGGGGTATTTCGTTTCTCATTGTATTCCAGAATGTTAACTAGTAATAGTTGTTATCTTGTCATCATCCTTGTCATCATCATCACGGGGGTCGTCGACAGCGGCAAGCGCAGGTGTAGGTGTCAAAAAATCAACATCAACAGGAATAAAACAACGCATAGAAGACAGATCTTTGGCAGTGCGCGACACGCAAATGAAACCTTGCTTCATACTAAGGGGTAGTTCGGTCAAATTGCAAACAGAAAAGACGAAGAACGGAAAAATGGGGGATAGATCATAGTCTTCGCTCGAAAGAATACAGCGAAACAATAATGCAAGCCAGGAGGAAAATGACTAGGTATAACTTCTCATGGCATCAAGGTATCCTGAACCTCCGCGAAGGTCTCGATCGAAGGTTTCGGCGACCTCCAGGACACGTCGGATGTGTTCCATGGATAGAGGGTTTTGCTCGTTAACAGCCAATGCTTGGGCTGTGCGAACGGAGTTTTTGATCTAAGAACAGGTGAGTTAGTATCCGTACAAGTTCGCGTAGGCTAAATGGAGGTCTTACCTGACGCCCGTTGAGGTTATGACGAGCTAATAGATCAAAGTCCTTTTCTGTGAACGTGGCGGTCTCCACGCCCTCCTTGGCCTGCACCCGCTCCAAGAACATCTTCCAGACGCTTCGCTTCGCCTTCGTGGTGAGTTCACCGTAGCGCAGAGCGACGTGGATGCGGGATTGGAAGGCGTCATCAAATGTCTCGACGCGGTTGGTGGTCAGGAAGAGAATACCCTGGAAGTACTCCAGCAACCGCAGGAAGATACTGACTAGGGCATTGCGGTGAATATCCTGGATGGTGCGCTTCTCCAGGAAAATATCGGCTTCATCGAGCAGCAGAACGGCGCCCCAGGAATGTGCGATGTCAAGGATCTTGTTCAGCTCTGCTTCAAGGGTGCGCGGATCGGTGCCCAGCTCACCCGCGCTCACCATGTAGAGCGGGCGTTTAAGGAGCTCTGCGATGCCTTCGGCAGTAAGAGTTTTACCAGTACCAGGAGGTCCGTGGAGCACGGCCACGAGACCCTTGCCCTTGCCTTGGATGACATCGTCGATGTTCTGGGCCGCGCGGAAGGTGTGCGACTCGACCAATGCCTTGACGATGGACTTCTGGTTGTCGGGGAGGACCAGTGAATCAAAGGCATCTTCGTTCCATTCAATCTCACTGATGCCCGAAATGCTGAACTCAAGCCACAGCTTCTCACTGAAGGCGAAGCCGAGTACCACGGGGCTTGCGATGAGGAGCTCCTCTTCGGTGAATTCGCGGTCGGAGGGGTCCGCGACTTCGTCCATGTTCTCCTTGACAATTTCATTGCCGTTCTCATCTAGCTCAACCTCGACGACGTGCGGCTTGCCCTCCTTGTCCCGTACCACTTTGAATAGGAGTTGAGGGGTGTCTGAGTCGCGCGGTTGCCCATAGGTTTGTTCTGATTCTGAGTCGGACAGAATACAGCAGCATCCATTGTTGCTGCCATCATCGTCGGAGCCGTCAAGGTAGTCTGGGTCCTTGGGACGGACGGTGCTGATGGGGTAGTTGGGATTGATGCGCCGGTGGATGGCGGGATCAACCATGACACGGCCATTGATGTTGACCTTGATGACGGACCGCTTCTTTTTGTAGAAAGCCATACCCTTGTGATACCGGTAGTTCATGCCTCGCAGCGCCACGAATTTCTTACCTCGCTCGATCAGCTTGGCCTTGACACTCTCGGCTTCGCGATGATACTTGAGCGGATAACAGCTAAGACTGGTAATTTTGCGGGCACCCTTGAAGGACTCCACCTCGGCGGCCATAGTCCCCATACCGAAAGCTTTACCATCGTACTCGAGATAACGACCCTCGATGCTGTACCACTGACCTTTCATGAAGGAGGACTCCTTGGTGGCGTACTCGATCTTGAAGGCACGAGGCTCATCCTGGTTTCCGTAGGTAGAGGAGTAGGCGACGGTGTTGGGCTTGAAGATGGCCCATAGGAGATCAAAGGTGATCATGCTGGAGTCCAACAGAGGGTAGAGGGTCTTCTTGGTTTCGGCATAGTCGGTGTCCAGATACTTGACGAGCACCTTGAGATGTGATGCTTTGATTTCGGCGAGCTTGCGGGCTTTCTTCTTCTTTTCGGTCTTGGCCAGCTGCCGGAGATCTTTCATGTACTGCCGCGTCTCCTCAAGGTAGAGGAAGAGCATGTTGGGATCGACAACCGCCGTCTCTTGCACCAAGCTGACGCCCTTGACTCCATCCATGACCTTGGACAGCGCATCGCGCAGGTACTTGCTCTTGAGGTCTACTACAGTTTCCAGATACTTGTTGTCCCAGTCGAACTTGCGGCGCACGGTGAAGAGGTATTGGTCCCACTCGTTTGCATCGGGGTCGTCGACCGTCTCCGTGAGCTTGAAGTTGTGAATCGTATTGTCCCACACTGTAGAATTATGTGTTAGCTAGATCAAGAGGAAAGATGAAGGAAGACGCACGCTGATCTACACGCTTAAAGGCAATCTTCGAGGCAGCCTTCTTGCGTCCCTTGGACTTTTGCGAGCTCCCTTTCTGGCCGTCAGTGTTACCGTCACCCGAGCCACGCCTGCCTCGGCCTTTGCGACGCCCATCGGCCAACTTGACTCGCAAGGAAGCCAACTTTTGCTTGGCTAACAGAAGGGCGAGCTCGTCGGCGTCGGCATCCTCGTCCGCATCGTCATCGTCGTCTTGTTGCTCTTCGGAAGAGTCATCCTTGGAGCGCGACTTCTTGGACCTCTTCGCCTTGAGCTTGGCGACCAGCTTCTTCAGGGTCTTTTCGTCAAGAGACGAATCGGAGTCGCTACTGTCCTCGAGATCGGAATCGGCCGATTCAGTCTGGTGCGACCGGCTCTTCTTCTTACGGCTCACACTTTTCAGCGATTTCTTGATCTTGTTCTTGGCCCGGCGGCGACGCTGTTTGCGATCCGACTCCGCGTCGGACTCCGAGGCCGACTGAGCATCTTCGTCGTCGGAGGTAGATTCCGCGCTGGATTCCTCGGACGAGGAATTTAGTTCCGACGAGCTGTCATCGCTGGGGGTCACGATGGAGGCGGCCTTGCGGTGAGATTTTTTCTTTTTCGAGCGGTTGGGATCCTGGTCTTTTGCCGCATGCTTGGAACACACGGACTTTTTGGGAACGGGATCGGAGACAGAGACGGGAGCTTTGGGGTCGGACTTGACTGGGGGAGTATCGACGGGCGGGTCGGCGTCAAGCTTGGATTCGGGGGAGGAGGAGACGGGGCCACTAGCGTCGGCCATGGTGGTACCAGTCACAGCGGTGGTAGTACTGCTGGAGTCGCTGGTGGTGGCAGGGAGTGGAGCTGAGCCAGGGACCGGGACGGGCACAGGCCCACTGTTGTTGGAGCTTGGGTCGCGCTGAGTCTCGAGCTCAGTTTGCTGGGAGGTGGATTGGGAATCAGTGGGGATGGTCATGGCCAGTGAGTAGAGAAGTTGGGATTATACGGAGAGAATATATGAAGTGATGAAGAGAATGCAGAAGAAGGGAAGGAAGAAAGATAGACAGGTGAAGATGGATGGATGAACAGTAGTAGTGATATGGGGTAGATGGGAGAGAGTGGATGAATGGGAAGAAGTTGGGTGGGAAAGGTCGTGGATGGGGAAATGGGAGGAAAGAAAGAGAGAGAGACAGACTCACATACTCGGATGCCTAAGAAATAAAAAGTATCCTCGCTTGCAAGAGCGCCTTGCGTGTTGGCCCAGCAGATGGCGGTGTGTGCTGCCTGACCACCCAAGATGAGAGAGAGAGAGAGAGAGAGAGAGAGAGAGAAAGCAGAAGTAGTAGTAGAAGAAGAAGAAGAAGGGAAGAGAAAAAAAGGGTAGTGAAAGAGAGCAAACAAAACTGACAGGCAGATCGACGAACAAAAGTAATTAAATAAATAACCCCAAGAGTGAGGCGATTGATTGTGACTGACTGACTGACTCCAACTTATGAGCAATGATGCCTGTTCACAGTTGCTTCTCTGCCTACTGCATAATAAATAATTACAGTAAAACTACTGACACCCTAAAGAAAGAAACTCGCCGGATTGGGGAAGAGGCTGGGATAGCTTCAGAAACTGGCAGTGCCAATCATAATATGCAAATCTCACCGGGTCAGCAAATGCATCAGGATTGGATTGTCACCCTGCCAGGCGCTTGGAGAAAAAAAGTGGCACAGACTTCCGAACCCCCAAACCCAAACAGCCATTCAGCCGCAGGATCATCAACTGGATCATCTGGCGCAGAAGTCTTAGAGGGAGAGCCATCCCCGGTCACCGACATTTGCCCAACGTGCGTGTGTCTCACATGCGCTGTCAGTGCAGTTTCCAGTCACGCTTGGGGATGGAAAGTTGACCTAGTAAGTAAGTATTCAGATGGGATGATCATCCAGATGGAATACTACTAGTAAGTAGTAAGTAGTCACGGAATAACAGGCAGAAGCAGGCAGTGACATACTACTCTTCTACTAAAGTTAGACTGAGGAGTCATACTGACCCTCAATGAAGACTGACAGGCAAGCCTGGCTCGTATTCGTCCGAGTTCTGACCAACTGATATTCTCCGTTCCAGTTCCAGATCCCTGTCTGCCTGCAGCTGAACCAGGTGAAGAATCCCGACTCCATTGCAATGTCCCGGATACCCCGGCTCCGTACTTTTGTACCGTCAACCCTAAGCAACATCCATGTCTTCCAACCGAGTTTGAGATCTCCAAATTAAGATGCTTACTCGCATTCCACATCAACTATATGTTTTTACTACTAATAAGAGGGTAGACATTACAGATCTGTAACCAACAATAGACAGTGAGCATACTCTATGGCCAATAGATTCATCGGTCAGTAGGAGACTTACAACACCATTTGTAGTATGCAAATATGTGGATGATTCCGATATCTCGAGATACCCGGATTATGCCTACACAATTCATTAAACTTGACATTATTACATCTACACAAATCAACTTCAATTGTCATCTATGCCTAGCTAGCAACATCGCCTTCGAGCATAGTACTCCATACATAGTATACATTTCACTCCCATCTGAGTTCTTATGCTATACAAGTAGTATACACTGCACTCGCCTCTCCTTCATATAAAACACAAATACTCCTAGTATAGACTACTAAATAAGTTCACCATTCTTACTACCAACAATCCACACACAAATAACTACACCCAGTATCAAGATACATAGACCATAACACTTCCCAAACCCTGGGTAGTTCCTACCAAACACCAGCATAGTAACCAACCACCCACAGCAACCCAACAACCCAATCCAGCTGATCCACAACTACAATTCACTGAACAAGAACAGAACAGAGAAATCAAAGCCACTTCACTGTCACAGCAACACTGGCAGAATAGAACTCACTTCTATGTTATTCATCCCCTTCTGCCACTCTCACCTTCCCATTCCCATTCCCACCTCACCTCCCTCATCCTTCTACATACCATCCCATCCCATCACCCCATTACCGCTACCACAAATACTAAGACATAAACAAGATGTCACCCACCTTCACTCCAGTCAACAATACCCCCGGTCACAAGAACGGCACTGCTCCAAAGACCCCTACCAAGAAAACCAACGTGGCAATGGTAAGTACTATACCATACTCTACCACTACCACCACCACAGCACATACACCCACATACAACCATACCATATACACACACAACTAACTAAGATAACCCATAGACCCCCAAAACCCCAACTCCCACCTCAACCAACACCAACACCAAAAAACGCCTCACCCCATCCTCCTCCACCACCACCAACACCCCAAGCACCAACAACAAACGCACTAAAGCTCGCACCCCCCTCCCACCCATCCCAACGACCCTCGCATCCGCCAGCGCCTCCGACCTCCTCATCCTCCGTCTTCGCGACGAGTCCTCCACCCCCTGGACCGCCATCAACCAGGCATGGACGGACCTGACGGGGATCAGTGTGGGCGGGTCGACCCTCCGAGCGAGGTACAACACCATGAAGAAGAATTTTGTGGTGGTAAATCCGGGTGATGTATCCATCCCTTTTCCATTTTCCATTCTATATATATATATATATATATGTATTTGTAGGGGAGGAGGGGAGAAGAAGAAGAAGAAGAAGAAGAAGAAGAAGAAGAAGGGTTTGACTAATGTGTGTATTACTATGTGACAGGAAGCGAAGATCCTCCAAGCTAAGAAGGATGTTGAGGGACGATTGGAGACGGAGAAGTGGAGATTGGTTGCTGAGGAGGTGGGAAAGGCTGGTGGGGGAACTTATCCGGGGGAGTGTTTGAGGAAGTATGTGAGGGAGATGGAGAAGGGGATGAAGGGTGCTGTTGCTGCTGCTGCTGCTGCTGCTGCTAATGGTGGTGATCAGGGTGAGGAGGGTGATGAGGAGGAGGAGGAGGATGATGATGATGATGTGAAGATGGAGGCTGAGGAGGATTAGCTGAGTTATGGCAGGCTACGGCTTTGGGTTCTTCTGCTGTTGAGCTTGCTGGTGGGTATTGGGAAGTCATAAAGTGATAGACAGACATACAGCTGGCATTCATTCAAGATAAGGATAGTCAATCAATGCTAGTTTACTCCAATTCTCTGTACTCGAGGTATCATAATCAAAATGAAAGTAAAAAAATCACAACACACTTAATTCCCGACGCCCGTAATCCTCCATCCCATCCCTCATATAATCATCACTGTCTGTGCGGGCTACTATCGCCGGCCGGATCTTCGTCCCTACGAACCCACGCCGGTCTCGCCCGGTGCGTCCGCGGCCTAGCCAGTTATGCTTCAGCTCCTTGCTCAGGAGCTCGATCTGCTCTTGTGCTCGATCGCCGGTTTGCACGCTGGCCAAGACGCTGACGCACTGGAGCATCCGTCCCACCGTCTCGGTGATGATGTGTGACGTGTCTGTGTGCGAGGACCGGTGGATGATACTGGGCCGTTGCGTGGGTGACGAGAATGACTGGAAGATCAGCTGATCCGGGTTGGACGTGTTGGACGCCGCCCGGCTGCGGTTGCAGTCTAGTGAGTCAGATGAGTAGCTGTTCGCGGCGTTGAGGAGCGTCGACGACTGCGAGCTGTAGCTGCCGAACCCGCCGTCCAGCGAGGCCGATGTCGTCGGCCGTGCGCTGTTGCTGCTGCTCTTGGTCGTGACGCTCAGCGCTGCCGTGCCGAGCTTGATGCTGTCTAGACTCAAACGGGAGAAGGTTGCCTTTAGCACGTCATACCGGTAGAGGATGACCATGTCGCGGAAGGCAATCAGAACGAGATTGCGCACGTCCAGATCGCAGCCGGGGTACTCGCCGTTGAACGTGGATGACCAGAACTCACTGGCTTCTCGGCGGTTCATGACGGACCCGCATCCCTTAAACTCAAGGTCTAGGGGCAGAAAAACAGCCTGGATGAAGGGCAGGATCGTGCCAAACACGAGCATCCACACTTGTACCAGATGAGGGACAAGCTTCTCATCAGGGATGCCGTTCAGCGTATGGTTCAAAGATGCACATCCTGTCTCTAATAGCTCGCGCAAGTCGTCTACCACTGCGGTGGGCATGCGTTTCTGGACGCAACGCTGAATATGGATGAGGACCAGCTTATTGAGATCCTCGATGGCGATACGAACATCCTCCCCGTCGAAGATAACCATAAGCTTGGCCTTGAGAAAGTCCCACGCATCTTCCGGCGTCATATTATTCAGTCCAAAACCCTGGAGGGTCTCTCGAAGAGCTGCCTCCGCCAGAACCCCCGTGGAGCTGCCCAGCGACGACGGTCCTGCAAAAGTCCCCGGAGCAGGTCCCGACGAGTTGGCCACCCAGTCCAGCTGTTCCGACTCTAATGCCTTCTCTTCCTTCTTCTTATCTCGTAACCCGTGGAGCAGGTCCAAGCCGCTCACGCTTTTCCCAAACGTAGTCGTGACCGCACCAGGCGAAGCCGGGGTAAAAGAATACAGCGACTGGGGGGCATTCGGATCTGAAGGTTTCGAGTTACTCGACGCCGACGATAGCGGCAGGTTGTAATGATCATCTCGGTCTTTCAGCTTCAACTTCTGCCGCGACAAGAAGTGATGCTTGTGCTTATCCTTATCCTTCTCTTTCTCCTTCTCACTCCCCACCGGCTTATCGGCCGGAACCACCGTACTTGCCGACGCATTTGACAAGTTGTAGAGTGACGAATTATTCGAGGGAAACGTATCAGCCAAGCTCGTGGTCGACGCACTCACGATCCGCGATAATCCTCCGCTCGGAAATCCCATCTTACTCGGCGACGGCAGGCCCCGGTCCTTGCTGATCCCGTCCTTATCCCGACTTATCCCAATATGTTTCGGTTTCGAGAATAGCTTCATCTTCGATTTCTCGCCCTTGTGCTTGTGCTCCCGCTCTACGGGCGGCTCCAGCCCGGGCGGCTGCAGCGCGGGATTCCGGGGAAACACCACATTTGCCGCCGTCGTTGCGGCATGTGTATTCCCATTCGTAGACCCACTCTGATATGATGCTCCGGATGCACTCCCTGCGCTTGTTGGGGGCGCAAACAACGGCGCTGGAGGCGGCGGGGGCGGAGGGGAAGCGCTCCCGCCTCGTCGGGACCGAGAACCGTCTTCTGACACACCCCGCACTGGCGGAGGACGCTTAGGAGGATTCTGAGGAGCGGTCTGCTGTTGCTGGAGCATGGCCGCCTGGGCTGCGATTCTGGAAGCGGAGATGGTAGCCTCGGAGGAGGATGCGGTGGGGAGGGATGGCTCGAAGAAGCCCTGCGAGTGGTGACGAGAGCGTCTCTGCAGTTCCGGCGGGCCACCACGACCCGACGGTTTCCTGCTCAGGATCTCACCATGAGGCATGAAGGAGACGGGGGATCGAATGGTAGAAGAAGAAGAGGAGGTAGTATTTGTGGTGGCAGTCGAGATGGGGGGAGGAGGAGCGGTGGTGTTGGCGGTGATGGAAGAGGTACGTGGAGGACGAGGAGAGGAGGTCACCGACACGGCACCGGGATTGAAGGCAGAGTGACGCGGCGAGATGGTGGTCACATTGGAAGTAATCGACGAGGCATCACTGCCTGAGGAAGCAGGGCGGGCGTAGGAGAAGTCGTCGAAGGAGCGGCGAGGGGGCTGTGAAAGTGGATGATGAGGAGGTGGAGGAAGAGGTGAGCGAGACGAGGATCGCTCGGGCGACACCGGCGAGCGCAACATGATGTGAGCGAATAGATGGCTTCGGAGACAATGCTAATCGAGACACAAACCCCGAACCCATGATATGAGGGGAGGAGGAGAAAGGTCGTGCTGGCGGCGAAATCCAGTCAGTCTAGATCCCCTGGATTGATTGATTGCTTGTTTGGCTTTCAGCCGCCTTGGGGAGGATCAGCGACCGAAAAGGCGCGCCCGGCCGGACGATCTTCGCTCGTGAAACAAATCCAGCGCAAAGCAAGTCTTCCCCTCCCGCCCGCACGTCCTTTCTTTCTCCAACTTTATCCATCCCACTTGATTCCTTCCCCGCGACATATACCTTAATTATTATTCTATTCTCATCCTCCAGCGATCTCCTAAAATGTCTGCCAACAAGCTCCACGCTGCTTATGTCGCTCCCGACCAGTCTCGCACTTTCGAGCACAGCATTTCTTCCCCGCTCCCCTCCGCCGACGCCGTCCCTCAGAAGGTGACCTATCTCGCTGAACTACGCAAGCTCGTACCCACTCTGCAGAACGACATCAACGTGTTCCTGACCGAGCGCATGGAAGAGGACAAGAAGGCTGCCGAGGCACAGGGCCAAAAGGTCTCTGACAAGGAAGCCAAGGAGGAGGAAAACTACGGAGAAGAGGTTGTGGAAGAGGATGCTTGATCCTTCCATACCCGAAATTCAGACAGTTGAGAGAAAGAGTGTGGATGCTACGGCTGACGAGGAACGAATCACGACTAAATAAATCATATGCATGGATCATTGAATACCGCTATCCCGGGGTATCATCGTGTAGGAAATGTCCGCCACTCCGGTATGCTTTCGTTGAACAAGACATGGCCAGGAAATGCGGAAGGAAGATCAAATAAAGCGAGAAAAAGAAAAGAAACCCGGAAAAGCACACAAAAAACCGCGATAACCGATACCACAATAAACCACAAACCTCTATATACACACAAGTCAGGCTCAACGCATGCGATTGGCACAGCCAAGATGGACAACCGTGTTACTGCCTTCAGTTAGCCAGGCTCGAGTCATCAGATTCTGGTGATACTCACTCCGGAAACACATTAATCACACTGCCTCCGATCCGCTTGTGGCAGATGCCGCAGACCCGTTCTTCGGTAATGGTGACATGTCGCGAGCGCGTCGATCGCCCGTCCGTCCCCTCTCCTACCAACAATTGCGCCTGCGTCTTGATGTCTTCTGCCTTTTGCAGGTTGGCCACGATCCGGCTCTCGTTGAGGATTGTGTTGGCGGCCCGCATACGGCCTTTGAAATAGAACTCGAGCTCTTTGACCGGGAGCGATTCCGGGATCAGATCCAGAGCAGAATTAGGTGGCAGCCGGGATCCATGTTTGGCCAGCACCTCAAGCGCGGGCCCGTACCGTGGCTTGTAGCCATGCGGCGGCGATAGATATAGAGACAATAGAGTCAGATAAATCGGTGGTTTATCATCCTCATACGGCAGTAGAGATACACAGCGCGAAGCCGCTCCATCCGCAGCAGTTGTATCCTCCACTTTATGGAGATGATTACAGTATCTGGACGGTCAGCAGATTTCACGTAAAATCGATAAATCCAACTCACTCTTCAGCCTTGACGTAGTCCTCCAACTTGAACACGTAGATTTCCAGTGCCTGCCGGTGTTGTCCCATCTTGCTGAAGACAATCGCTCGTGCCTCGAAGAACTCGGGATCTGTCGCAAGTCAGCAACGCCATGTAAGCGCAAGAAGGGTACTTACCATCCCGGTCCAAACGATCTAGAATCTTAGCCGGAGAATACTGGGAGCTGGATCTGAGCATATTCAAGAACTTGCTCTGCCAATTGACATAGTCATCCAGACTCGAAAACTCCCATTCTTTCGCTTGATGCTTTTTCAGTCGTTCCAGGTAAAGGACGAGCAGTTTCTGATGCAAATCTGGTGTCATATCATTCAGTTCCCCAATGATATGCTCCAGGTATCTGACAGCCAGGTTGACATCAATGCCTTGCAGGAAGTCTAGCACGCGGTCTCTTGGCAGCGTCTCCGCGTTCTCAGTATCTGCCAGGAAAACCTCCATCCCCAGCTCAGGGTCCTGTCGTACCGGCCACTCAGCGAACTCGAGGATCAAATCAATATGGTCTGGGGACAGATTCTGCAGATAATTGACTGTTCGCTTCGGTCCGTGCAGCTGCGGCGCCGTCTCTTCTTCCTCGTCGGCTTGTCCAAACTTCTGGAGTAGCTCCAACGCCTGCCGGTGCAGCTTCTTTCCATACAGAAAGTCAATCAGATCGTTGTGACGTCCTGTCTCCTCCAGCTTCTCCATCACTACATCCGGGTCACAGAAGTTGGCAATGCGGAACAATGACCCCGCCAGAGCTGGAATAGCGTACATGTACGCCCGGAAGAGAGTCGTATCCACGAGTCTTGCCTTTTCCCGCAGCTTTTCCCCAAGATCATACTCACCCTCCGGATCAATGCTCAGCAGCTTCATGACCGAGTCCGTCAACGCATCGTTCGCGCTGTCCGTCGTCGCATCGACCACCTTCAGCGTGCCATCCGGGTTCAGGAAGCGTTGGAACCGCCTCCGCACATCCGCCAGATACCTTTGCAGGTCACGAACAGCCAGCTTGAGATCGGCCCCTTCCAGCGCCTTGTCACTCTTGGCCTCCTCGACGACCTTGCCCCGGATACTGCCCGCATCGCTGGCATCATCTGTGCGCGTCCGCAGAAGAGACATCACCGACGGAGCATGCGAGAGTGTCTTCGGCGCTGGCGCTTCCTCCGCAGCCGGCGCATCCGTTGGGCTATTGTTCTCTTGCGTCTTAGACTGGCTGTCTGTCGTCCCATCTTCGGACTCCTCCGGCTCCTCGACAATCGACGACAGCTCCCCCGCGATGATCTTCGGATATAGTCGTATGACCGTCTCCGGGGGCGCAGATATCTCCGTGAATAAATCCATCGAATCAGTATACTTTCGCATCTTGAACAGCCCCTCAGCCTTCTCCAGCTTGATCTGGCGCAGCCGGCCCTGCTTATCCCTCAGCAGGGCATCCTCCAGCATACTAGCCAGACTGATCGCCTCGTCCAGATATCCCTTCTCGACCAGCGAGTCAATCTGCGTATCATAACTCAGCGCCTCCATACGCCATATTGTCCGATCACTTGCCACCAAGAAGCCCTTCCCAGCATGCGCCAGACTAATTGTCGGCTGCGGGATATGCATAATACTGGCAGACGGTAACGGCACCGACTGCAACAGTGACAACGTCTCCGGATTCCGCACCTCCAACACTCCCTTCGAGGCATCATGCAGCGCCAGCAGAAATGGATACGAATACCCTATATCCGCCGGCGCATGACTCCACGGAATCTGCCTTCTCCCCAGCGAATTTCCCTGCACATCAATAAAATGCGTATTGATATCCTTGGCCAGTAACACCTGGCCCTCCTTCAACCTCGTTGCCAACGGCTTCGGCGCACTGCCCCCAAGCCCCATATAACTCATACTGGCGACTCCCACCCCGGCCAGTCTCCCCGTACTCTCCTGACCCCCTAACCCCCCTATCCCAGACGGACCCGTCAAATCCGTCACCGTCCCACCACCACCCCCCTCAATATCAACCATCACAAACCCAGACCCCAACCCAGCCACCAACCTCGTCCCAGACACCCACGTCAGCGTCTTAATCCCACTCACCAGCGTCATCTCCATAGGCCCGCCCGCTTCCATCTCCATATCCCTCCACACCCACACCATTATCTTCCTCTTCACCGCCACCGCCACCCTCGACACAATAGCAGGCACGCCCGTTTCGGAATCATTCTCAATATTCGACGTCACCGCAAACGTCGTCGCCCCCTTCGTCTTCGCCAATTGCTCCTGCAACGAATACGTCCCCAGATCATGCAACGACACATATCCCCCGGACAGAGAAACAAGCACCTTAGCCTCCTTAATCAACGCCAACTGCTCGATCTTGTACCGCGAGAACTTTTCCACTTCGCGGAGCAGCTCCGTGGGTTTCTTGCTATGCTGTTGTTGTTCCCGGTTACCGTTCGTAGTCCCGTTCGCGATTATCCCCGTCTCTCCGTTGCCGTTGCCGTTGCCGTTTCCATGTTGTTGTTGTTGTTGTTGCTCGGTAGTAGTATCTTTCTTCCCCTTCCCCTTCCCATCACCATCCTGCTGCTGCCGCACCTCCCCCTCTCCTTCTTCCTCTTCTTCCTCCTCATTCACCCGATATATCCTCAAACTCCCATTATTCAGCCCCGCCAGGACGCGATCCCCATACGCCAGCACAGACTCGATGCGTGATCGATCGCGCGGTTTGAGTTCCACGAGCGGACGGGCCGTGAATGCGGATAACATCGTCGAAGATATAAACCCCTATCTTGCTGCTATCTGCGTATGTATGTATGTATGTGTTGTGTATATATTCAAGTAATCGGTAGGGTATAGTGTAGGGCGGTGTGCTGGCTAGCTGGCTAGCTAGCTAGCTCGGTACGTTGTGGAGGATGGATGCTCGGGAGGTAGGTAGGTAGGTAGGTAATGCGCCGTTCGCGATCGATCGGGGGTTAGGTTCATGTCATGTCGTGGGTGTGAGAATGTGCAATCAGTCTCTCGGGGGAAAGGGCGGAGTTAGAAGGTGGAAGTGGGTGTCATGGTAGTGGTGTTCGTTGTATGTATGTAGGTGAGTGATGTGGTGCGGTTCGGTGGTTGGGCGGAGGTTGATTGATAGCGGCGGAGCTCCTACGGAGGAGTGAGTGTCCAGCTGGGCCGGACAGCTGCCCTGCCTGTCTCCCCGGGCCGTGTGCCAAGATGGGTTTCCCCAGCTGGCTGTGCCTGTACTACAACTACGTATCTATATTCTGGATTATCTTGTGACAGCATCCCTTGCGTGCCATTTGAATTTAAAGAAGTTTGTAGCATTGATTATATCAACGTTGTCTTGAGTATCTAGTCTATTATGCTAAGCTAACCGATGGATGGATGTCCTGCACACACCGCTACTATCCCATCCATGGGTGTGCCATCCGCTGGCTTAAAGCTCCGATCCCATGCAATGAATCAATTCCATAACTGCCAACCGACCGATCAAAACCCATAACGCAGCCCGACGGACCGCGACCGACAAGGAATCCGGACTTTTGCAAATATCAAGACCAAAGAATGGAGTGAACGCACGGCGCATGTACAATGTGAAGGTAAGCCAGATCCCGATAGGGAATGAGAGAAGGCAAAACCGATAGGTAGGATAACTATAAGACCGAAAGGTCTGATGTGTTTCAAGCTTCAAATATAATAATAGTCGTCGGAATGCCTCTCAGATCATGCCTTGATCTCAGTGGGATATTCCTGGTGTTTGGCCGATGTGCCCTTCGCACGCCATGTCGAAACAGCGGGGATGTCTGCTCTGAAGCGCTGCTCGTCGGTGCCGTATGCGCGGGGCGTGAGCTTGATTAGCGTATGGAGCGGCACCTCCATCCAGGGACTTTGCTCCTGCGGCGTGTTGAGGAAGTAAGCATAGATGCATCGGAGAACTGCCTGGTGCGTGACAATGATGACGTTCTCGCTACGCTCCAGCTCCATGATAATCGGCTCTAGCCGGATGACTACATCGCGGTATGACTCGCCACCCCGGTAGCGGTAGTTGTACTTGTCTTCGTCGCGCGCAGCAAAGTCTTCCGGGTACTTTTCCGCAATCTGCTCGTACGTGAGTCCGTCGCAGACTCCGGAGTCGAGTTCATCCAGCGCCTTCCACTCTAGCTTCTCGAAGCCCGTCTCCGCGGCGAGATGACGAGCCGTTTGAATCGTACGTTTCAGAGTTGACGTCCAAATAACGATCTTGGTGTTGGGTGGAACCCCAGACTTCTTTAATAACCCGGGCAGCGCTCGGGCGTATGCCTCTCCTCGCTCTGAAATGTTGGAGTCGCCGCCAATTTTCCCCGTTAGATTATATTCTGACTCGCCGTGCTACATACGTTAGATCAATGGTATTTATAAGATGAGGACAACTTACTCGAGATAACCAGATCGAGCGAGGTTTGATGTGAAGGTTCTGGATGTAGTAGACCAGCCGACTGGAAAGGTAATCCTTAATCTGATTAATGATGACGGTCGACCCGACATTAATCAGTTTGACGTAGGTAAAGTGCTTCTCGTTATCGTCAATGGTCTCATAGACCTTCTCGTAATTGCGAATGCGGTTACGGAAATCGAGAGCAGCAACTTCCGGGTCCTGCCCCTTGTAGTCCGGCGACGTTGTCTTGACTTCCAAGATGTTGTTCATGATCAAGTCTTCATCATCACATATTGACTCGACATATAATGTTTCGACGTTTGCCTCCTGGCAGCGTTCATGGATCCAGCGCCGTCGCTCTTTCGTGGAATTGGTCGCATCCAAGATAGCTACGACGCCTTTCCCGGACTGAAACCACTGGAGCATATCAGACACCGCAGCCTCGGCGGCGGCGCGTCTCATTTTCTCGCCTTCGGTATTATGAGGGTCGAAGAAGTTCGCATTGGGCTGTGGCGTGCCTGCACGACGGTAGCTGCCGACGTTGAATACCCGAGCGGGGATGCCAACCCAGGCAAGATATCGCATTGCTGCATCAATTAGTGCCTGACGTTGAACAGCCAAAATCACCAGAGCGTACCTTTTCCAGCTATGAGACTCTTGCCTCTGGCTGGGAGGCCAACCATGACCACACAGATCTTCGAGTCATCGGACTAAGAAGAGTAAGTCTCTGGAGTGCTGCCATTGCGAAACGACGTAGATGCCCAAATTGAGAGAGTAACGAGTTGCGACGAAATAAACATGATACAGAATAAACAAGCAGCGTTGCAGTGCAATGTCCAGGGTCATCGCAGACCCGGGCAATTGCCCCTCCCAAAAGGAGGGGTATACAGCCTCAACGGACGCATGGCAGGGCAGTACATAACGTCACCGGCAACACTGGGTCACCGCGCCACTTCAATCAACAGACAACGACAAAAGAACCGTTTCACTTACGCTGGCGAAATAATTATGGCCATTGCCCCTCCGAATGGAACCGGACGACATGATGAATGAGCGGAAGGAATGAGCAGGGAGTCGACTCCTGACTGGGATCGACTTGACTGGGATGAGGCGAACTCAAGACCTCGGCCACCAGGGGTGCCCGACCGGACGCAAGCCGGAAGAAAGGATATAGGGACGGATAAGGTCAGTAGCGGGTAAAAAGGCACAGGGCGTGAGAGTAGCGAAAGTGTGATAGAATCTGCAAGTAATGGGACGTGTCGGAGGGAGAAAATATTCTAGAAAGTTGAGTTTGGACAGATCCGGCCTGTCTTTGGTATCGGGGGGAGTAGCAATAGCAAGTAGTACAAAGTAGTGGCAGTAAGTTAATCGATCAACAGCAGCTCTGGTTGGATGCCATTAAACCCAACAATTCGATGCGGTGAAGAAGAAGAAGCACAGACGTCATGCCGCGGGGCAGTCGCAACAAGGCCGAGAGTTCCAGGCAGGAAGTATCCTGTCTTTTAAAAGTTGATTCATTCACTCCCTGAAGGTAAATCGAAGCAGCTCAGAACACCTCTGGAAAACTTCGGTCGCAGAATATCCGGGGAGATGGAAATTTCCCCAGTCTTGCCTGATCGTCTAGCCCCCCCCCCGACAATTTCCCTCCGAATTGAACTAGTAGTAGTAATATTGCCTCCCTTCTGGCCACACGTGATCTCCTGCGTTTTCGTCGGGTAAAATCGCGACCGAATCTGGATGGGAAGAGGGGCGCTTCGGGATGGACGAAGGGAGTCTGGATCTTGGGCGTGAAATCTTTGGTACAAAGTTCCTGAGAGGCTCCCCCGGTGACACTTCTTATAGTCGAGGATCGCATGATATGATACTTACTTTGTACTATCATCCTGAATGATTTGATATCGAATGGAGCCACGCCGATTGGGTCCCTTGCATGTCTCCCTGGTGGGACTTTGGACGACTATCAGCCGAACTCCTCATTACCCCGTACTCCTGGGGTCGATTTACATGAGCGATTTTTCGTCGTAGTCTGGACCCAATGAGCCCAATATTGGGTGATGCTCCGGTCGATTCCGTCTAGTTTGCGGGAATTGAAGTTTTCTCGAGTGCGCGTGACCGATACAAACTACTACCTCCCACTATCTATTGACTGCGAGATATACCCAAAAACGGAAAACGTACAAGAGATGGATGATGGATATTCATGAGTGATTATATGCATTTGTGGATATTATAGATAGGTAAATTCCAGGCGTCCTGCTATGCAATGCTTTTGCCGGCCATCGGGCCGATATTTTTAACCGTGTCCCCCCTTTTTTAGTCTCCGTCCCCGTCTCATATCCGTACGGTAGATGCGTAGCCCTACGGATACAAACGTCGAGGCCATCGATAGATGCTTCAGCGCGGGTTCTTCAGCAACCCTGCTAAGCATTGCCCCTTTCCGCAGACCCATGGCGTGCCATTGGCTCCCGGTCCGCGGCTTATCAACGGAGGCGGAGGCGGATGAGCGTAGTTCGTAACTTCTTTTTTTGGGGTGGAAGCCCCTTATTCATATCGTAACAACGTCAGGCATCTATTTTTAGTGTTGGGGGTGAAGTCTGGTTCCCATGATGGATGATTGCTCCGATGTGTCGCGCTAGTGAGACTACTATGCGGCGGCCGCAACCTCCTCAGCAACAGGGGTGGCTTCGTCCCGGCTGGACGACCACTTGGGTCTCCGCTCTTGCGAGTTGTTCTCTCCACGGGCTCTCTGGACCCGGAGGACGGCACCCCAGGGACCTTCAGCGCGGTTCAGAGCGTTCATGGCATTCTCAGCCTCCTCGACGCTGCTGAAGTCGACGAACAGGTAGTAGTGGTCACCGGGCTCGAATCTCTTCGCGGGGTGAGGAGCGAACAGCTTGCTGACATTCTCACTATGCAGCCAATTAGCATCCCGGACAATCAATACACGCAGGGACCAATCCATACACTTTGTAATCCTTGAAGAAGTTGGTCATGTTGCTGGTGATCGCCTCCTGGTCCGTCAACCTTGGGAGGCCGCCAACATAGAGGCGACAGCTGGGATCGCTGTTGGAGGGGGTGCTGGCGGTGGTGGTGGTAGTGGTCTTCGACGGAGTGCGCGGGGGCTGAGCCTCGTCGCCGCGGCGCCACCGGTCCATGCTGAAGGGAGAAGAACGAGTCTCACGAGGGGAGGCATCCGAGCGCGGCTGTTGCTGTTGCTGCTGCTGAGCCCGCTCACTCTGGGTCTTCACGACACCAGGCTTGATCTTGACGGGACGACCAAGCATGTCCCGACCGTCCAACTCCGTCATGGCGCGCTCAGCCAGCTCCTTGGTCTCCAGATCGACAAAACAGTATGAGGGGTTGCGGCCGGTGAAAGGGTCAATGGCGATATCGATACGCTCGCTATTAAGCACTCAGTTTGTGACTCCCAAGGGGTGTCTTCTGTTCAAAGAATCCATACATTCGGAACTCGGCCGCATCGAAGAGAGCCTGCACATCCTCCGACTTGGCCGTGTAGGGCATGTTGCCCACGTAGAGACGGCGGCCCTCCGAGATGGCCTGGGGCACATGCGGGCTGGGTCTGCTGAATGCAATTCTCGAGGTGCTGGTCTTGGGACCGGGGGATCCGGCAGCGGCGCTCTGGCCACTAGGGCTCTCATCGCGCTTCACACGCCAGTTGGGGGAGTGGAAGGCCCG